AAAGAAATATTTGTTATTTAAGTTTTTAAAGTTATTATTTAGTTATATAAGTTTTTACTTAGGAATTGTATAAATGGGAATATTCTAAAAGACTATTTTAGCAATATCTAATACTAGTTGAGATTATAGGAAAAGAACCCTTGGAATTCAAAAGAACAAAGCTAGATTCTTGTTACAGAAAGATGGGTAGAAAGGATGAATACTTTGAAAACTTGTCACTGTCTTTTGAATAGAATATCAAAATACGAAATTTTATCAAGTAAAGCAGAATTACAGTTATATGATGTAAACATGAAAAGGAATTTTCTCATACATTGATGTGTTCTCTTACTAGGAGAAGACAATTGACCGCTTAAAGGAGCAACGGGACAGAGATGAGCGAGAGAAGCAAGAGGAAATCGATAACTACAAAAAAGATCTTAAGGACTTGAAAGAGAAAGTCAGCCTGTTACAAGGCGATCTCTCAGAGAAAGAGGTTAGAATCTCCACAATGGAATTATTTTGTTTAATCATTATGTTGTGTGTATATGTTGTTGGTGTTTATATCATCATGTGAAAAAGCATTTGCTGAAGAATTTTCTAAATATTCTTACAACAGGTTTTTAAAAAATACCTTAAGGGATATTTCAGGAGGCTTTGCAGACACATAGTAGATTAGTTTGTGCATTTCCTAAGTCTTACTTTGTTTGAGATGGTTTTTTTTCTTTTCATGGCATTTTTATAAATCCTAAAATAATTGAAACTCACCAAGTTACACTTGGTGAAATATTATATTGAAGGTAAGAAAGGTGACAGACAAAAGGAGTATGCAAATGGAGGTAAGTTTATTTATAACAGCTATTATGTTATGTGACTTTTAATGTACTTCTATCTTGCTTTTGGAGAATCCTGTTAATGTGACTAAATAGCAAAAATGCCTAATGCCATGTGATCAGATAATAATGCATGAGCTTTAGGGTTTTTCTCTGGATTTATATTATCTTTAGGAAATTTTGTGGAAATTTAAGCTCCTAAAATAATTTTTTTTCAGAAGGAGAAAAATGTTTTACTTTTAAGTTTATGTAGCTACTAAAATTGACTACTTATATTCACAGAGATCAATCTACTTTCACTTATTTTGTGAGGATGGGTATGTATTGATAAAATTCTTTACTTTTCAATTGGGTAATATTTCTTGCAAATCCATCCTATTTAGTTAGGACTTGAAAGCTAAAGCTAATGTTGTTTTATATTTCATGAATACTCTTAAAATGGAAATATGTCAGTATTTGGTAGTAGAAAGTAACTACATACTACCATGATAGTAATTGTTAATGTTTAAGTATCCATAGTTAGTATTTATTCTACGTGTGTGTTGCTTCTTTTAGGCTTCACTCTTGGATCTGAAAGAGCATGCTTCTTCCCTGGCTTCCTCAGGACTGAAAAAGGACTCACGGCTTAAGACACTAGAGATTGCTTTGGAGCAGAAGAAGGAAGAGTGTCTGAAAATGGAATCACAGTTGAAAAAGGTTAAAGAAAAAATTTCACATTTTCTTGCTGTGCTTTAAGTAAGAACATGGTGGATAACATATTTATGGGGATTAATTTACCATTAGAGTAATAATCTCTCAAAGTTCCAATACCATGTGTAATACTTAATTCTCTTAGCATTCTTCTTATTCTTTATTTTATTCACAAGAATCTCTAAACTCTTAGAAAATGGACTGGTTAGAGGAATATTAAAATACACAGTTCCCTGTGGGTGAAATATGAGAACAAAATGTAAAAATCTGTTACCTTTTTCTTTTTCTTTTCTTTT